GGGGGCTACCGGCGGAATGACGTCAGCGCCTCCGGGCACTTGTGACGTCACGGGAAGACCAGGTCCGCAGGCGCAGGCGGCGGGCACCTTGTAGACCTTGCGGGCCTTTGGGGAGTTACCGGAACGCAGCGATGACAGCCTCAGGGCGCTCCCGGGAGCTCCTGTAGGAGGAGCGTGAACGAGGCCCAGCGGACTGCGCCGAGGTCCCGGGATGGACGCCCAGCCCACAGGACTGCCCGCATCTGCAGCGTGTAGTTCTCCTGTTGCACAACTGTAGGGCCCCGATGCAGTGACCTGCCTGATGGGCCCATCTACGCTGAGAGCCATCAGACGTCCTCCCTGAGCAGTCCAGAATCTCAGAGAACCACGACCTGCCTCCGCACACAACTGGCCTAGAGATGGGCCAGCCAGCGGAGTCACAGGTGGGAGCCAGAGAGCGAGAGGAGCCGCCACAGCGCTCTGCTGTCTACACAGGCACGGTCCTGCCAGTCTGCCCCTCACTCCAGGTTCCAGCCTCTGCTGCACAGCGCCCACCCACACATTGCCCCTCTGGAAGGTTCCGTGACACCTATGGCAACGCTAAGGCTTCCTGCGGTCTCTGCAGCCCCATGAGTACAAACTGCCCTCCGCACTTGATCTCTGAGGCCCTCACTGCCTGGACTGAATCACTCATATCACTTACGCCTGTGTTAACCCCCCTGTGTGGTTTCGACTTGCTCACTGGACCCTCATACCGTCCTGGTAGGAGGAGTGATCAGTCGCGGGCAGGAAATTAGGGTGGAAATGAAGCAGCGGTAACGGGCATGCTTGGGACCAGGTGCTGGAAAATGTGTAAGTCACGGCCCTGTTAAAGGAATACCTAAGACAGACAACAAGCACCAAATAAACATGGACAGATTTCTATAGACATCCCATCAAAGAAAACACACGTGGGACCAGCAGTTAGCATAATGGCTATGTCACTGGACTCACATGTAGTCGACCACGGTTCCAGTCCCGGACCCGGTAGCTTAAACTCAAGACGGGCGCATGTGCATGCTTGCCCAAGATCCCGAGAGGAGAATGGAGGAGAAGGGATGTCGAGTGGCCTTCCCCCACTCCCCCCCCCGGGGGGGGGGATTTCTCACTTTCTATCTGTTTCTGTCTTTCTGGTGAGCACATGCAAGAAAAAAAACTCTCAAAAAACAAAACAAAAAAAAAAGCACACACATATTCTCTGGTAGATAAGCATCAGAAAAGAAGCTTGACATCATTAGTACTTATGATAATAAGTTAAAGCCATAATGACATAACACTGCACACCAACTAGACAGCTTAAGATAAAAGTCTGCGAGGTGTGGACAATGATACAGAGGGGACAAAATGCTCATATACCACTGGTGTAAGTGTATGTTGACACAACAGCTTTAGAAAACGGCCATACACCTACCACATGATACGACTTTCACTTCGACATAGTTAACAATGAGGGAGGAAAGCGTAATCATCCCTTGGTATCTGCAAGGACTTGGTTCCAAGGCCAAACCTCTCCCTGCTCAAGACCTTTATATAAACAGCATTTCTATATGACCTGTGCACATCCGTCCATATGTTTAAATCATTTCTGATTACTTATGATACCAGGTACAGTGTGAATGCTGTGTAAATAGTTGTGATGCTGTCTTGGTTTTATTTGTATTACTTTTTATTGTTGCACTTTTTTTCCTGACCATTTTCAGTCCACTGTTAGTCAAATCCACAGATGCAGAACCCACATACAAAGAACTGACTGCCCATGGTCCTAGAAGGCTTGAATGTAGATGTTCCTAACACCCGTTTGTTATAGTCCCAATCTGGAAACAGACCAAATGACTTTCAACAGGTGAATGTAGTAAACAAATTATGTTCCATAGATTGTCAGAAATAAAAAGAAATCAATTATTCCTACACACAGATACATGAACAGATTTTGTATAATTATGTGACTGAAAGGAGTCAAAAATGAGTACATGTGTGATTCTAGCTGTATACAATTTTAGAAAATGTGAGTGGTTCCTGGCAATGGCCATGAGGGCCAGGACAAGGAGTCTGAAAAAGGACAAAGAGCTCCTGGGCTAGTGTCAGTTTATTTTCTTGGATACAGTTATAATTTCATAAGTATATACATATATAAAGAGCATCAAGCAGTACACTTTTTTTCTTTGCCAGAGTAAGAAAGCACCCCTCAGAGGGAATGGTCATCTGCAATCCTTTCTCCATTTTTCCCTCCTTTCAAGATTTTAGGCATGCATCCACACGTGTCTGGCATGCTTTTCTCAGGCCACCAGATCCAGGACTTGAAGCATGCAGTCAGCCATGGGGGATCCAGCTAGCTTAACCACCATACCATCAGCTGGCCTTGAAAGAGTACTTTTTAAAAATTTTTAATAATTTGTTTATTTTGAGGACAGAATCAAGTAGAAACACCTACCATGGTATCTCTCTGGGGGAAAAAAAAGACTTAAAAAGTGGAATAAATAGCTATGCTTCTAGCAGAAGACAGGGAGACTGGTGAAGTGCAAGAAAAGGACTGGGAGCTTCAGAGTACAGAATCCAACTTGAAGAATTAATCACCTGCGCTTGGTGAAGCTCCAGGGTCCTCCTCTGCCATGCGGTGAGAATGAGTGGAATTCTCTGGAGCTCCTAATTCCAGACAACCATCTCAGACTCCGACATTCCCCACCTATAGAAGAAGAATTAAACTGTCAAAGAACTAACACCAATTGCAGGGAAGTACGCAGATGTATCACTTCAGAGAAAATTTTGGACCTCCAACCCAACCCAAGCCCTAAGAGCTTGGTGCCACCTTGGGAGCTGACCAATAAGTGGAGTGTGGGTTGTGATTAGGACTATGCAATCTGGCATTCCTACAGCCTTGTGGAAGGAAGGTCCCTGTGAGCAAGAGAAACCAGGTGAACAAATCCAGTTGGCCTTGATGAGTCACCAGGCTATGTGGAGTGCAGATGGCCCAGAGTCTCACAAATGAGTTTGCCTCTGGCCCCCTGTGGATGACTTTCCTTGGGCCACATGTAGGTCTTGAGGGTTGTCCTACTCCTGGCCATTCCACCCAGGCCATACACGACACACTTCTTGAGTCTCACACAGTGCCTCTGGCACCTCTAGTTTTGTCATGGCTACATTCAAGTTAAGAGGGTGCCATTCCCAGAAATCACAAGCAGGTACAGAAGATTTGCTTGGATCAGAAAGGCATAGCTGGCCTCTGAAGCCTCCTGGACCACCCCTCCAGAGCAGCATCCAGGTCCAGAGGGCTGATCTATCATATCCAGGTCCTGAGGGCTGCTTTGCCCATCTCAAGAAAAACAGGCACAGCACATAGACTCGGCCTGACAAGCTCACTCTCTACCTCTCCTGGGTCATCTTTCAAGTCCACATTCAGGTCATCAGAGTCACTTTGCCTCTGGGCATTTCACACAGGCCACACAGTATCTGCTTCCTACGTCTCACGGCCAGGCTTGCCTCCTGCAGTTCTTGGACAAGCTTGTCTAGACAGCACTCAGGTCCGGAGGACTGACCTTCTCCAGAAATTACAGTCAGGTTCACAAGTCCTGGTTGGATCTGAAAGGCATGGCTGGCCTCTGGTTCCTCCTGGACCTCCTAGCCAGGATGACATCTAGGTCCTGAAGGCTGCCCTGCTCCCAGAAATAATAAGCAGGCCCAGTAGCCTCTGGGGCTTATAGACTAAGCCCCAGGTCTTCTCAGGGCCACATTCAGCCCTCAGAAGCCCCCCACCCCTTGGTATTCCATGCAGGCCCCTTAGGTTTTTGGGACCTCAAAAATAGACTTGCCCCTGGCTCATGAACTTGCCAAGGCCACATTCAGGTCCTCAGAGCCAACCTGCTTCCAGAAACTGCATGCAGGCTGCAAAATTCCTGCTCGGATCTGACAGACTTGCTAGCCTCCAATCTCTCCTGGACCATTTGGCAGAGTCATAACTTGGGGCTGAGGACCACTTTACCCCCAGGCATTAGAGAATCTACTCCATAAGCTAGGAAGCAACAAGTACCCCACCAGGTACCTAAAACAGCAGAAAAACATTAGGAAAACGAAATTATTTCTCCCACAAAAAGACATGGTAACACCTCACTAACTCACTTTCTATCTGTTTCTGTCTTTCTGGTGAGCACATGCAAGAAAAAAAACTCTCAAAAAACAAAACAAAAAAAAAAGCACACACATATTCTCTGGTAGATAAGCATCAGAAAAGAAGCTTGACATCATTAGTACTTATGATAATAAGTTAAAGCCATAATGACATAACACTGCACACCAACTAGACAGCTTAAGATAAAAGTCTGCGAGGTGTGGACAATGATACAGAGGGGACAAAATGCTCATATACCACTGGTGTAAGTGTATGTTGACACAACAGCTTTAGAAAACGGCCATACACCTACCACATGATACGACTTTCACTTCGACATAGTTAACAATGAGGGAGGAAAGCGTAATCATCCCTTGGTATCTGCAAGGACTTGGTTCCAAGGCCAAACCTCTCCCTGCTCAAGTCCTTTATATAAACAGCATTTCTATATGACCTGTGCACATCCGTCCATATGTTTAAATCATTTCTGATTACTTATGATACCAGGTACAGTGTGAATGCTGTGTAAATAGTTGTGATGCTGTCTTGGTTTTATTTGTATTACTTTTTATTGTTGCACTTTTTTTCCTGACCATTTTCAGTCCACTGTTAGTCAAATCCACAGATGCAGAACCCACATACAAAGAACTGACTGCCCATGGTCCTAGAAGGCTTGAATGTAGATGTTCCTAACACCCGTTTGTTATAGTCCCAATCTGGAAACAGACCAAATGACTTTCAACAGGTGAATGTAGTAAACAAATTATGTTCCATAGATTGTCAGAAATAAAAAGAAATCAATTATTCCTACACACAGATACATGAACAGATTTTGTATAATTATGTGACTGAAAGGAGTCAAAAATGAGTACATGTGTGATTCTAGCTGTATACAATTTTAGAAAATGTGAGTGGTTCCTGGCAATGGCCATGAGGGCCAGGACAAGGAGTCTGAAAAAGGACAAAGAGCTCCTGGGCTAGTGTCAGTTTATTTTCTTGGATACAGTTATAATTTCATAAGTATATACATATATAAAGAGCATCAAGCAGTACACTTTTTTTCTTTGCCAGAGTAAGAAAGCACCCCTCAGAGGGAATGGTCATCTGCAATCCTTTCTCCATTTTTCCCTCCTTTCAAGATTTTAGGCATGCATCCACACGTGTCTGGCATGCTTTTCTCAGGCCACCAGATCCAGGACTTGAAGCATGCAGTCAGCCATGGGGGATCCAGCTAGCTTAACCACCATACCATCAGCTGGCCTTGAAAGAGTACTTTTTAAAAATTTTTAATAATTTGTTTATTTTGAGGACAGAATCAAGTAGAAACACCTACCATGGTATCTCTCTGGGGGAAAAAAAAGACTTAAAAAGTGGAATAAATAGCTATGCTTCTAGCAGAAGACAGGGAGACTGGTGAAGTGCAAGAAAAGGACTGGGAGCTTCAGAGTACAGAATCCAACTTGAAGAATTAATCACCTGCGCTTGGTGAAGCTCCAGGGTCCTCCTCTGCCATGCGGTGAGAATGAGTGGAATTCTCTGGAGCTCCTAATTCCAGACAACCATCTCAGACTCCGACATTCCCCACCTATAGAAGAAGAATTAAACTGTCAAAGAACTAACACCAATTGCAGGGAAGTACGCAGATGTATCACTTCAGAGAAAATTTTGGACCTCCAACCCAACCCAAGCCCTAAGAGCTTGGTGCCACCTTGGGAGCTGACCAATAAGTGGAGTGTGGGTTGTGATTAGGACTATGCAATCTGGCATTCCTACAGCCTTGTGGAAGGAAGGTCCCTGTGAGCAAGAGAAACCAGGTGAACAAATCCAGTTGGCCTTGATGAGTCACCAGGCTATGTGGAGTGCAGATGGCCCAGAGTCTCACAAATGAGTTTGCCTCTGGCCCCCTGTGGATGACTTTCCTTGGGCCACATGTAGGTCTTGAGGGTTGTCCTACTCCTGGCCATTCCACCCAGGCCATACACGACACACTTCTTGAGTCTCACACAGTGCCTCTGGCACCTCTAGTTTTGTCATGGCTACATTCAAGTTAAGAGGGTGCCATTCCCAGAAATCACAAGCAGGTACAGAAGATTTGCTTGGATCAGAAAGGCATAGCTGGCCTCTGAAGCCTCCTGGACCACCCCTCCAGAGCAGCATCCAGGTCCAGAGGGCTGATCTATCATATCCAGGTCCTGAGGGCTGCTTTGCCCATCTCAAGAAAAACAGGCACAGCACATAGACTCGGCCTGACAAGCTCACTCTCTACCTCTCCTGGGTCATCTTTCAAGTCCACATTCAGGTCATCAGAGTCACTTTGCCTCTGGGCATTTCACACAGGCCACACAGTATCTGCTTCCTACGTCTCACGGCCAGGCTTGCCTCCTGCAGTTCTTGGACAAGCTTGTCTAGACAGCACTCAGGTCCGGAGGACTGACCTTCTCCAGAAATTACAGTCAGGTTCACAAGTCCTGGTTGGATCTGAAAGGCATGGCTGGCCTCTGGTTCCTCCTGGACCTCCTAGCCAGGATGACATCTAGGTCCTGAAGGCTGCCCTGCTCCCAGAAATAATAAGCAGGCCCAGTAGCCTCTGGGGCTTATAGACTAAGCCCCAGGTCTTCTCAGGGCCACATTCAGCCCTCAGAAGCCCCCCACCCCTTGGTATTCCATGCAGGCCCCTTAGGTTTTTGGGACCTCAAAAATAGACTTGCCCCTGGCTCATGAACTTGCCAAGGCCACATTCAGGTCCTCAGAGCCAACCTGCTTCCAGAAACTGCATGCAGGCTGCAAAATTCCTGCTCGGATCTGACAGACTTGCTAGCCTCCAATCTCTCCTGGACCATTTGGCAGAGTCATAACTTGGGGCTGAGGACCACTTTACCCCCAGGCATTAGAGAATCTACTCCATAAGCTAGGAAGCAACAAGTACCCCACCAGGTACCTAAAACAGCAGAAAAACATTAGGAAAACGAAATTATTTCTCCCACAAAAAGACATGGTAACACCTCACTAACAATAAAATACAGGAAGTCACAGAAATGCCAGAAACAGAACTCAGAGTGTTGATCATAGCAAAGCTAGTGAGATGCAAGGGAAACAAGACAATTCCAGGAGATGAGAAAATCATTCCATGACATGAATGAGAACTTCTATAAAGATACAGATTTCTTTAAAAAGAATCAAACAGAACTTCTGGAGATGAAGAATACAATATAGGAAATAAAAAACTGTAGAAAGTTCCAATAACAGATAAGATCATAGAAGAATCTCCAAGCTTGAAGGCACAACCTTCAGTTTAGTCTAAGCCACCATAAAGAAAGAAAAATAACCAATAAAGAAAAACACTATGTGTGAAACCTGAGACACCATCAAACAAATGAACATATGCATAATAGGTAATCCAGAAGGCAAAGAGACAGGTAAGGCATGATTATTTCATGAATACAATCTGAAAAATGCTCAAGTCTAGAGAGAGACAGAAGGCACCCAGATTCGGGAAATATAAAGGACAACAAATAGAGTCAATACAAGATCTCCAAGGCATATCATAGCCAAAATTGCAAAAGTCAATAACAAAGATAATCTAAAAATGACAACTGTGAAGCACATCCAGTTACTTATAAAGGACACTTCATAAGTCTAAGACTAACCCCAGACCTCTGAGGGGGGAAAAAAGTGCAGACAAGGAGGGAACAGGGAGACCTATTCAAAATTAAGAAAGACAGACAATTTCAGTCAGAAAAATCCTTCACTATGAAAAGAGAAAACCCCCACTCACCTTTGGACTCTCAGGTTTGTTTCTTGGGACTCTGAGATGAACTTGCACTCTTCCCTGACCCATCCAGACACTCGTTGCAGCAGAGGACCTTGCCAGAAGTCGGGCTGCCTGTGGTTGTAGGGTTAAGAGCTGGGACCCGTGGCTCATCCCCTCCCCCACTTGCCTTTGGACTGTGTTTAGTATATATAACATGCCACATGATCTCTTCTTTGTTACTGAGTTGAAGCTCAGCAGTCAGTTTCAGGTCACCTGCTTTCTAGAAACAGGGAAGACTTTGGGTTGCCCAGGACCATGGCAACAGTGCAGGGTGCTGGTGAGCAATAGGGAGGCAGAGCAGAAGAGAGATTGCCAATTTCTGGCTCCTGCACACCACCTTTGAATACTCAGTGATACCTTGAATAATTTAGGAAGGAATGTATTGATCACCAGATGACTAGGAACCATCACAGAGGCACAAGAAATGTGAGCAACCAAAAAAATGCTTCTCCCCCAAGGAAAAATATCAATTCCTCATCACCCAAAGACAGCACAATGGTAGTCTAGAAATGTTGAATAAACAATTCAGAATATTTGTAGTGACCAAACTAAATGAGATGCAAGAGAAAAGAGACAAGGAGCTCCAGGATATGGAAAAGTCCTTTCATGATTTCAAAGAAGTAGCAGACACCATAAACAAAAATCAAACGATTGTTAGAGATGAAGAATGTGATTCAGTGTGCAGGGCATTGCATATGGAAGCCATCTTGAGAGCTCTGCTATCTTGAGAGCTGTCTGCCATCTTAGAAACCGTTAGGTTTCACTTCCTCATTGAACAAACTGTTTCTCAGAAATCATGTGACCAATGGGACCAGCAGTTAGCGTAACGGCTATGTCGCTGGACTCTCATGTAGTCGACTGCGGTTCATGTCCCGGACCCAGTGGCTTATACTCACGCCGGGCGCATGTGCGTGCGTGCCCAAGATCCCGAGAGGAGAATGGAGGAGAAGGGATTGCGGTGTGGCCATCCTTCCAGGGTGGTGATTACTCACTTTCTATCTCTCTTTCAGGTGAGTGCACATGCCCTATAGCAAAAACCTCTCCAAAAAAAAAAAAAAAAAAATCATGTGACCAACCATTCTCCCCGAGGGCGGTTGGGTTTCTAGGTAAAGGGAGAGATCCACCCACATCAATGATTGGCTCATACTGTTCTATCTCATTTGCATTTTGGGCAACCAATCGGTGCCCACCAACCTGTATATAAGCTCGCAATTCTTCCTTAGTAAAGGAGACTTGGTCAGCATCTTGTTTTGTCTCCACTACATGTGTTTGTCCCCTTTCTTCGCTCCCTCCCCCAGGTTACTGTTCAACTGTCCTGCGGGTTGGGACACGCGGCGCCTGAACAGGGACCTGGGTATGAGGGATCCAGTGAGGAACACCGGAATAAAGAAAGCCACCGCAGAAAACAGAAGAGGACAGGAGAGAATCATCCAGACGAGGACAGCAGAAAATCGTCCCGGTAAGTAACAAAGGTTGCTTACTCATACATAATAAGGGTGATTATGGGACAAGAAATGAGCAAACATGAGTTATTTGTTCATGGGCTTACTGAAGCCCTCAAGACACCTGGAGTTAAAATTAAGATTTAACAATTTATTTATTTATTTATTTATTTATTTCTTCCTTCCTTTCTTTCCTCTCTTATTGGAATCTAATAAATGAGATCATTAGGTTCTGGCCAACTGACCCTAAAATCGCAGCAGTCATCGCAGAAGGAGAACAAATTATGCAAAAAAAAAAAAAAAAAAACTCAGACAGATAGTGAAGATGCCATAAAAACTAAAATAGACCCTGGCACCAAAGAAGAAAAAGATTTAATTTCCTTAGACAGTGAGAAAGAAATAACAGATCTTAATAAACAATCGGATGTCAGGCCAAAACAAATTAAAAAACTGAGAATCAGTGGTGAAGTTATAAACTTCAAAAAGCCCCAGAAAAAAATTACACCCATCTCTTACAGAACTTAAAGTTCATTTAGATGACCAATTAACTGATTCTGAAGAAAAAACTTTAGAAACACAGGCCGCCAGATACATTAATCCAAAATGACCGCCTGAAGAAAGAATTTTAGAAACACAGGCCGCCAAGTACAGTAATCTAAAATAGCCGCCTTTCAAAAAACGGCCACCATTTTCCAATTCAGTCACATCCGCACCACCTTTGGTGATGCTGGTTATCGATCCTAGGAAAGAGGTTCTGAATAAAATTAAGCAACTTGAATAACAAATTCAATTAGAAAAGAAACATCAAGACCTAATATCACAATTAGAAAAACTGAGAGTGGGTAAATCTAAAAGTGCAGATTCCTCGCAGAATCGTTACCAGCCCACATTTACCCCTGGAATGAAAATTAAACCAGTTCAAACACCACAACCATTAATGAACTTTGAGGAACAGGAACCCTTCCCAGTAACAGAGACCATAGATCAACAAGGACAAGCATGGAGCTATCATAATGGCTTTGACTGTAAAATCATAAAAGAAATTAAAACAGCAGTTGCTCAATATGGAGCTACTGCTCCATATACTTTAGCCGTAGTTGAATCAGTGGCAGACAATTGGCTTACACCAATGGGCTGGCAAACATTGGCTTGTGCTACGCTCTCTGGAGGGGATTACTTACTTTGGAAATCAGAATATGTGGAAAACTGTAGGGAGACTGCATGCCGTAATGCCCAGGCCAACAATGGCTGGACAGCAGATATGTTATTTGGAGAAGACAATTATACAACTAGTGACACTCAAATGCAATATGATCCAGGGCTATTTGCTCAAATTCATATGGCAGACATGAAAGCTTGGAGAAAACTTCCTACTAAAGGAGATTTAAGTACCTCCCTTACCAAAATAAAACAAGAGCCTGATGAACCTTTTTCTGAGTTTGTTCATTGGTTAATTATTGCAGCAGGGAAAATATTTGGCAGTGCTGATACAGGCACCAATTTTGTTAAACAATTGGCATACAAAAATGCTAACACTGCCTGTCAAACAGCAATCAGACCATATAGAAAAAAAGACAGATTTATCAGGATATATTCGCTTATGTTCTGATATTGGGTCGGCATACCAACAGGGATTGGCTATGGCTGCTGCCCTTCAAGGGTATACTGTCCGCCAATTCCTTAACCATAACAATAGAGACAATTGCTTCAATTGTGGTCATCCCAGACATATGGGAAAAAATTGCAGGACAAAAAATATTGGTGGTCAGAAACAAAATCAACCTCTTGAATTGTGCAATAAGTGCCAAAGGGGATGAACCAGTCCCCATCCCTACTTTTGACCTCATTCCCCATAGATCCAAACACGCTATACAGTTCCTCTCTATTCTTGCCACCTTGGGCATCACTGCAGCTACAGCTGCCAGCTGGATTAGGATATTCTCTATACCATAAAGAAATTACTGAGGGCCTTATCTCTGATGTCCAAGAGTTGGCTTCCACAGTTACCTTTATTCAGGACCAATTGAATTCCCTTGCAGAGGTAGTACTCCAAAATAGGGGTGGGCTAGACCTCCTCTTGACAGAACAGGGGGGGTCTTTGTCTTGGTTTGTAGGAACGCTGCTGCTTTTATGCCAACAAGTCTGGCATCATTCGTGACAAGCTCAAACAACTACAAGAAAATCTTATTGAACGAAAGAAACAACTCACCGATAACCCCTTTACTGCATGGAATGGACTCCTCCCCATACTTGGTCTGATTCTGGGTTTACTGATTGTTTGCTCTTTGGGGCCTGTTCTCTTTAATAAGCTCATGGCTTTCCTTAAATACCAAATTGATGACTCCATAAAAATGCAGCCTATCCAAGTCCACTACCACAACCTGGAGATGGAGTATCGCGGAGCCTAGACATTGCTCCTGCCTGAGGCACTGAATTGGTTAACCAAAGACAGGTAAGAGAGTCTGAGCCTATAACAGCTGTACAGTCCTCCCACCTAAGATAGGAAACCCATCATTGCAATGAGGTTCTCCAATGATGGGTAAGGATGGACGTAGCTCTGAAAACGACTCCAACCTAAGACAGGCATGATTCCCCCAGTCTTTTCTCCTCTCTTTGAAAAAATAAAAAAGGGGGATATGTGGAGGGCATTGCATATGGAAGCCATCTTGAGAGCTGTCCACCATCTTAGAAACCATTAGGTTTCACTTCCTCATTGAGCAAACGATTTCTCAGAAATCATGTGACCAACCATTCTCCCCAGGGTGAGGGGAGCAGTTGGGTTTCTAGGCAACAGGAGAGATCCACCCGCATCAATGATTGGCTCATACTGTTCTATCTCATTTGCATTTTGGGCAACCAATCAGTGCCCGCCAGCCTGTATATAAGCTCGCAATTCTTCCTAAATAAAGGAGACTTGGTCAGCACCTTGTTTTGTCTCCACTGCATGTGTTTGTCCCCTTTCTTCACTCCCTCCCCCAGGAAACTGTTCAACTGTCCTGCGGGTCGGGACAATACAGGAAATTAAAACCTCCCTCAAAAGTATTAAAAGTAGATTAGATCACACAGATTGAATCTCAAATGTAAAAGACAAAAACTCTGACCTAGAAAAAAGTATAAAAAAGACTGAGAAAACAACCAAGGAAAATGAGGATAATATACAAGAAATACTTGATACCATCAAGCACCCAAACATCTGGATAATTGGTATCCCAGAAGAGGAAGAAAATAATAAGAGTATTGATCATTTATTCCATGAAATCCTGGAAAAAAACTTTCCAAACCTAGAGAGGCATTCAAATATCAAAAATCCAAGAGATATATAAGACCCCACATAGAATCAACCCAAGAAGATCCTCTCCAAGGCATATTATAGCCAGATTGGCCAAAACCACAAAGACAAGTTACTAAAATTGGCAAGAGGGAAATGTCAAGTTACTTACAAAGGTTATCGCATCAGGCTAACATCAGACCTCTCATCAGAAACAATGCAGGAAAGAAAAGAATGGGGAAAGACAGTCAAAGTTTTAAATGAAAAATAATTTCAACCGAGAATACTATATCCAGCAAGATTATCCTTCATATGGGAAAAACAGTTAAAAACATTCTCAGATAAACAAAACCTGAATGAATTTACCAACTTCAGACCAGCTCTTCAAGAGGTTCTGAAGGGAGTGCTATACCAGGAAAACTAAAAAGTCAGATGGACAGATATAAGAGAAAAAAAAAAGGGAAAAAATTTGGCTCACTTAGTGGTAGAAACATGTCCAGATATATCAATAATAACTTTCAACATTAATGGATTAAATTCTCCACTCAAGAGACACAGACTGGGAACCAGCAGTTAGCGTAATGGCTATGTTGCTGGACTCCCACGTAGTCGACCGCGGTTCACGTCCTGGACCCGGTGGCTTAAAACTCACGCCGGGCGCGTGTGCGTGCGTGCCCAAGATCCCGAGAGGAGAATGGAGGAGAAGGGATTGCAGCGTGACCATCCCCCCTGGGGGGTGATTTCTCGCTTTCTGTCTCTATGTCTCTCTCTGTCTGTCTGGCGAGCGCATGTGCCCTATAGCAAAAATCTCTCCAAAAAAAAAAAAAGAAGAGACACAGACTGACTGAATGGATTAAGAAAGAAAGAAAGAAACAATCTGTTGCCTATAAGAAACACACCTATGGATAAAGACGTACATAGACTAAAAGTGAAAGGCTGAAAAAAGATATTCCATACAAATGGAAATCAAAAAAGGGCTGGAGTTGCAATACTAATTTCAGAAAAACATAGGCGTTAAGACCAAGATTGTAAGAAGAGACAAAGAAGGGCATTGTATAGTAGTAAATGGGCTAATTCACCAAGAAGACATAACGCTTATAAATACCTATGCACCCAACTCAGGAGCACCTAAATACGTTAAGGAAAGACTGCAGGAGTGAAAAGAAGAGATAGGTTGCAGCACTATAATTGTTGGGGGTCTCAACACCCCATTAACTCCTTTAGACAAATTTTCTAGACAAAAAAGCAGAGAGATACAGGACCTAAGCAATACTATAAATCAAATGGACTTGACAGGCAGCTATAGAACTTTCCACCCTAAGACCACAAAATAAACATTTTTCTCACCCTGGCATGGAACCTTTTCAAAGATTGACCATATGATAGGTTAAAAATCAAGCCTTCACAGATTCAAAGGCATAGAAACTAGATCCAGCATCTTCTCTGACCATGATGGAATCAAACTCGATATTAATTTCAAGAAACATCCTCAAAAATACATAAACACATGGAAGGAAACTAAACAACCTACTTCTGAGTGACTTCTTAAATATCGAAGAAATTAAGTCTGAAATCAAAATTTATGGAAACAAATGATAATTGAGGGGGCCAAGCAGACGACACAAGCTGGTAAAGAGGCTGTCTCCCACTTCTGAAGGCATGGCCTGGGCCGGGGAGAAACGGCGAGACAAGGCCAGCAGTTTACTAACCCTCCTTGCGTCCTTTTACTGGCCTGTAGTTAATTTCTCTGCCGTGAGCTTTACTGTTATTACATACCCTGCAAGGGTAAAATATCACCCCCAACCATTACAATAAAGCCAATTAGTGATCTTGTAGAAATGTAGTTCCCTAAGAAGAGGGCTGGAAATTTGAGACTCCCCCACCTGTCTGTTTAAGCCAAAATTAACATATGTTAAGTCAAATTAGTATAAGCCAAAGTAGCATCAGTAGCATATGAAAACTAAGTTAGTTTAAGGCTAGTTTTATGTAAATACCCCTTGCTAGAGCTACAGGCCAAAGTTAGCTCATGCTAGGCAAAGTCAG